ACACACACACACACACACACACACACACACACACACACACAAACAAAAACAAAAAACAAACAAAAAAATCCTATATACACAAAATCCAACACACACACACGCTCAAAAACAAAAAACAAACAAACAAACAAAAAAAGTCCAACACACACACACACACACACACACACACACACACACACACACACACACACACACACACACACACACACACACACACACACACACACACACACACAATCCAATACACACACACACACACACACACACACACACACACACACACACACACACACACACACACAATCCAACACACAATACAACATATACAAAATCCAACACTCACGCACATGCACACGCACACGCACACGCACACACACCCAATCACAATAACACACAATCACAATCACACACTTTAGAATGACATAGCATTTTCCTTTTATCAGTAATTCTATAAGGTGGGAAGATTTTAAGCAGTTGTAAGGGTATACCTACACTGAAAAGGTGTAGACAGGCTGGAATAGTTAACCGGTTTTATTTGTTTGTCTTCACTGAATAAACAACTATAGTTCTTTCATGTGTTGTCAATTAGCACAAGCTGAAATTATGAGATTAAAGCAGGAAAAGTTAACAGTCAACATTTCCTGTATTGGCCTGTGCTTGCCTACATTTGCTCACTCCTCAGTAACCTAGACACACATGTCTATGATACTATATTTTAATGCTTCTCTCTTCAGCCTGCTTGCACTGCTAGTGTGGACATGGCCTCAGACTAGGTCTCTTGCTTTGTGAAGCCAGAGGTAATACAAAATTATGGTACACTACTCTAAATATTCATTATGAACTGGTGCCAAGACAATTAAAAATCAAAGATATACTTCCAGTTATTAACTCCTTGTCATGGTGATATTAATTTGGTTTATTCATGCACTTCCAATACAGGTAGCACCACTCTTTCATGGTGACAATACTTATAGGCAACTGCCAAGCAAATCCCTACCTCTTCACCTTCATCCATTGTAAATATTAACAGGGTTTTAATATTTCTTTTTTCTTGGATTGTTTTTTATTCTTTTTGGTTGCCACTGTCATTAACTTAAGAAATATTTACCATGAAAAACTGTATAGCTTGACCAGGGCAGAGTTAATGACCACTGTATTTAGCCACTGATGGTGTACCATAAGATATAAAATATAATTAGATCCATAAGTAATTGCACAATCTACTCAATAATTACCAGAAGTAAAAGAAAAATTCCTCTTATTTTTGATAATGGAGCATTTCATACCATAAGCAGCCTTCAGAGTATTGTAGGGAAAAAACAATTTAATTTTTAGGTTTAATAGGCTAAATGGAAATAGGGCTACTTGTCCTATATGTCCCCTGTGTAATTACTTGAAATAAAGATATTTTCAGTGTCTTCAATACATACAGGGTATGTAGTTTTTGCATAAACAAACAACAAATAGATAAACATTCTATAAAAAAAAAACTTTAGTGTCAGGCATTTTATAGTATAAACATCTGTGCTCATGCTTTATTCAAAAAACTATTTAAAATTCCCTACAATTAATTTGACACATCAAAGAAAATTTACTTTATTCTTGGAAGCCTGTTTATCCTTATTTGTTAGTTGTTGGCCCCTTGGTGACATGACCATCATGAAAAAAATTTAGTTGAGGGCATGGTGTTAGGAATATTGGAAAAAAAATTGGCTAAGGAGCCTCACACTTATGAGATTTGCCACTCCAGTAAACCTAATGCCCAGATTCTGGCCCACTAGCAGACAGTGAGGCACCCAGATCCAACTGGTTAGTGTAAGCCAAATCTACATTTTTCATGATACCAATTTTTGGTCCATAACATAGAGGAAAAATAAAGTACTATATAAAACAATATAATAGACCTTATGGCATACTTGTTCTCAAGCAATTACTTTCTAAGCCTCTTGACAGAGACTCCAACCCCATGCTCCTATATGAAATGGTCCGTGCCATGTGCACTCTTCCTTGCTGATATATTACAAATGCTGGTTTCTAATGCCAGCAACAAACTTACCATTCATCATTGAAAGCTGCCTTTGGCCTCATGCTGGAGGGGAATGACTGAATTTCATGTCAACAGTAATTTACTTGACAACTATCATTGTCAAATATACAGAAAGGTATTTTAAGTGTAGCATTCAACCATTTTATAAGTGACTCAGTATCACATGTTTATGATCTAATTTGCTGATGTTAACTATACTTTTTTCATGCTATAATGTGCATCCTCCAAACATGTAATCAAGAATATCCAGAACTGTCTAAAACATGACTCATTTGAACTATGTATCACATCAAGCTCATACCACTCGTCTATTTGTCCATATTTGTGTTAATCTACCCTTCATTACTTAGTAGCCCTGAAGTTCTGATATCCTTCAAAATATATAGCTGCTTCAAAAAACTTCAAAAAATGCAATAAAGTAGCAGCAAAAACAGTCAAGCTGGTAACCAAGAG